CCTGTAGTCGGCTCCTCAGTCGAAGAAACGTCGATCGGCTGGCGCGAAGGGACCGGCGGGACCTGTCGAGGGCCGGCAGCAGCACGGGCCGCTGGCGGTGGGGGAGCTGGGTGGCGGAAACGGAACACGGTGGAAGAACCAACAACACGCTTCCGCGCGGTGCGGATAAAGCGTGGGCCACGGCGGGAGGAAGCGACTGGAGTGTGTCCGGGGGTGTAGGAAGGGCTAACTGGGTGTGGGTAGGGGGAGTACATTGGTGAGTACGGCGCACGCGAGCTGGGGGAGCGTGGGCCACTGGGAGTGCGGGCAGAGCCGCGGGAGCTATAGGAGGACAGGTGGCTGGCGTGGCAGAGGCAGCCTGAGTCCCAAGAGATAGTGTCAACTGAGGTGACACCCTCCTCGGCCAGACGGGCCTCCAAAGCGGCGTAGCGGCGGGCAAGGGAGCGGTAAGCCTCAAGGAGTAGGTCGTGCTGAGTGGCCTGAGCCTCCGAAAGCTCAACCATGCGAGTCAGCACTGGCTGAGACTCGCTGTACGGACAAGGGTACTTGGCGTCTGAGTGGCCAGAGGGAAGGCGTGGAAGCTGCCGGAAGGCGGAACCTCCGAGACGGTGGCTGTAGTCGTGGGCCAGGCGACGAAGTGCAGTCCAGGAGAGGTCCTGGTACGCGATCTGGAGAGTGGGCCTGGCCACAGTGAAGTGGTGGGGGCGAAGGCCAGCTCCGTGTATACCTCCACGGGGGTAAAGGTACACCGAGAGCTCACAGTGAGGGGGAACACGGTCCACGGAGTACCCCGTGTACTCGGGACACGAGAAGCCAAGGAAACGGGAGAGGTCACGAAGCTGAGCGACGTGGTGACCCTCACCAAAACCGTGGGAACTGAAGCTGGCGTTCACTGCCATCTACAATTTTGAAAGAGGGAGAAAGATCAGTAACCGTTTTAGAAACAAACTATTGAAAATAAAGTAAACAAAAGAAACCTTAGCTTTTCGCAAGTAGTTTTGAACTTAGTATCCTTAGGGTCGTCCTAAGTGTCAGGTTTCGCCCTAGGGCCAAGCCTGTGCTCTGATACCATCTCTTGTCACGCCCCGAACTAGTCCCGACCGGAACTAGCCCGTGACGCTCCAAATTAACCTGTTAATCGATACCAGTCCCAGGAAACAGTGCTGGTATCACAGGGAGACAGAGTATCACAGCAACAGAGGTCTCTTTATTATAGAGTAGAAGTACAGTCATGTTGGGCTGCGGACAGATCCCGAGCTCACAACTGCATTACAAAAGGAAAGCGGAAGCCAGGACTTGGACCAATCATCACAGGCGCGACTTGGGAACTAGGCCGAAACCCTAAAACTCATCGTAGCCGACTTGCTCCTGGAAGAACTCCTCGTCAGCAGGATCCACTTCATCTTCTTCAGCAACTCGGGGGGGATTATTTATATAGACCAAGGGTGAGTACGGGAGTACTCAGCAAGCAAGGGGAAATAAGTGTTTAATGCAGGCTTCAGGGAAAGGCTGTTGTTTCCGTAATTGATTTTGTTTGAACTCTTTTCTAAAAAGTCTAAGTGAGTGCTTCTCAAACGACACGGATGGGACAGTGCGTCTCGTCCGGTCGGAGTATGTGCAATGTATCAGTCTTTAGATCTTGAAACAGGGTTGGTACCCGGCCAACAGCTTTTCAAACGGCCACCCGGGCCAACAACTTTTCAAACGGCCACCCGGGCCTAGCTGATCCCGTCAGCTGCTGATTTTTCAAACATCGAACCCAGTTTCACAACAGCAATTTCACAAGCAGTAGTCAAACAAAACTACGCTAGGAATCACCTCGCATCCGCCCTTGACCGTGGGCACGGCTGTTCGAACAGTTCAATGACCTCTGCAGAGGGGGTACACTTTACCCACACGACATTACTAACCCGGGTCACCCAGCCCGTGGGGATCAGCCACGTCGGGAGACCTCCAAGCTTTCATGACAAGGCATTTCGAAAGCCGATACAGGTTTACCATATGCCGACGAGAGGGGTCCCAGACCAACAACAGGTTAGGTCCCAGACCATACTGTGCCAGGAAGCCCAGGGGTCCTCCCCGACACCACCCCGGCGAATCCACATGTCTCTCGGCATCAAGGCTCCCCTGATAAGCTAGTTACTCAGCCAGGGGTGTCCCATTCCACCCATGTGGTCGTACTTGTCTTATGTTTGGATGAAATTCCAAGGAATCGGTCCTTAAGTGCGAGAGCGGGAAACCGTACACCCAGTACGTTCCCCGGTCCGCGGTTTTGGAAATTCATTTAGTTCGCAAGCACCGACCCAGGTGTCGGGTTTTTCCAAGTCTTTTGTAAAACACCAGTTTTACCCAAGTTGTTACTCAGATTTTAAATTTGAAGGCGACCGTCGATACTCGCACAGAGTGCACGAATATCGAGGTGCAACTGGGTGGTTACAAGGGGACATGGTATAACAATTAACAAAGGAAGGATCAAATGCAACGAATTAGGTAGGTCTGCCAATCTGCCTTGCAGGCGGGGCAACAGATTAAGTGTGATCCTATCAATGCATAACATTTCGCAAGCAACATAATTAAATTTCAAATATAGGCTCAAGATGTTCAAAGGTGGCTTGCCTTGCTCGAGATCCGGAGCTTGATCCTCGAAATCCTCGCACTGCGGGTCTTCGGGCTCCGAAACTACACGCGAAACGGGACAACTCAACAAACGGCGAGAATAAAGCCCTATTAATGACCTCTAAGCGTGCCATTAGATAGATCTCGAGATTTGAGGAATTTTGGAAGTTGAAAGGAGTCAATCGGATTTACGGTTGGGAAGATATTGAATTTCTGAGATTATTGAATTTCTAAGATTATTTAATTAAATCCTTTTTGGAAAAGAGAAAGAAAAGGAAGGAGGGAGGAAATATAGACTTTTCTCGGACGGCTAGGGCGCGGCCCAAGAGAAATGGAGCTGTCCGGCCGAGCTAAGTGGGCCGGCCGGCCCAAACTCGCGCGCGCGCGGGAGGGAGGAGAGAGAGAGCCGGTGGACCGGGCTCACCACGCGCAGTCCCGGGTGGGACCCGCTTGTCAGCGGCTCGGCTCACCGTGCGGAGGGAGCATGCGACGCACGCGCGCGGGCGGGGTCGGGACGCGGTGCATGCGCGCGGTCCGCGGCGGACGCAGATGCGACGGGCCCACGCGCAGCCTCACGGCTTGCGGTGGAACGCGCGCACGGGGAGGGACCGACCGGGGTCGGCTCGACCCGGTCTAAGCTGAGCTGGCGCCGACGTGGCGCCTACGTGGCTGCCACGCAGGACGGCGGGAGGTAGACGACGACCCGGCCGCGATTGGACGGCGGGCGGCGGCGGCGAGCGGCGGAGCGAACCACGGAGATACGGGCAAAAGCGAGCACACCGGGCGGTTGTTCGTGACAGGGGGAGGCGAGCCAACGGCTCGGATTCGCCGGAGGTCGCTCGACGGCGGCGGATTGCGGCGGCGGCAACCGGCGGCGGAAGAAAAGGGAAACAGCGACGAGGCCACGAGGGGTCGATTCCCGGCGGTGAGAGCATCTACGCGGCTTCGGGAATTCGACGCTAGCGTCGGATTGGGCGGAACTACGCCGAGCGAGGCCGGCGACGAGCGGGTGCTACGGAGCTCGGGCGGCGACGGCGGCGAGCACATGGCGAGCGAGGGCAACGGTTGGGGCGGCGCCGGCTAGCTACGGGGGGGTCTACTCGAGCTACTACCGAAAGCTAGGGGGAGGAGACGGAGCGAGGAGGGGGAACGGAGAGAGACATCACTGAGAAGAGGAGGGGCGCTGTGACGAGAGGCCGACGGCGCGGGAGTAATCTCTCCGGCCTCGGGCCGGGGAAGGGGAAGGAGAGGGCGCGGCCGAAGTCCCCTTCCGCGTCCTCGAATGCACCGGCTCTCCCGGCGCTCGGCGAAGGACGGCGGAGGTGAGACAGAGCACGGGGCGGCGGCTATGGCGCGGAGACGAATGGAAGAGGAGGGGTAAGGGGAGGCCGGGGGTTTAAAGGGGACGGCAATGTCGGTTTGAGAACCGACTTGCGCGGTCAAGGCGCGAGCTGGTGCTCCGGCTAGCGGCCAAATTGGCGACAGGGAGGATGACGCCGGCAGGGAGGAAAAGGGGAAAAGGAAGGGGGAAAAGGGGCTTGCCCCTTTGCCGATTTGGGAAAGAGGAGGAGGGGAGCGGGGGCGACGCGGCAGAGGGAGGGGGCGCTGCCTCCGTCCCTTGGCGGCTTGCGCGCGGAGTGGCGGGGGCCGGGCGATGACGGCGGGCGGTTTGGAGCGGAGCGGCGACACTGGCGGCAGGCGCGGGCAGGCGCTGACGACGGCGGCGACCGGGCGGTCGGCCACTCGGCACGCGCGCGCGGGAAAACAACGGGAGGCGCGGTGGTTTGAACGGCGCGGCTCGGGCGACAGGCGCGGGCTGGCGGGACCGGGCGGCATCCACGCAGGCGCGCACGAGCAACTGCACGCGGGGAGCGGCAGCGAGGGATGGGGAGACGGAGAGCGAGGGGGCGCTCGGCGCGGCGGCACACGCGCTCACGCGCGCGCGGTGCGCGGGCGGGGCGGAGCGGAGCGGAGGGAGAGAGGCGCTCGGGGCGACTCTCGCACGCGCGAGCAGCGCGCGGGCGAGGCTGAGCGGGGGGGGGGGGGAAGGAGCGCGCCGGGGGGGAGAGAGAGAGAGAGAAAGAGAGCCCAGGAGAGAGAGAGATGGGCCGAGCGGAATTCGGCCCATCGAACCCCGGGGGAGGCAAACTAAACTTTGCGGAGGGAACGATTTGGAAGGATTTGGATTCGGATTTGATTTCGACGATAGATCGGGGATTGAGATCTTGAGATGGCACGGACACTAGACAACAATCAAAGAAACAAATTTCGCAGATAGGGTTTTTAAGAGATAATTTTCCCGCTAGGCGCCACGACGGAACGGGCGCTACAAGAGAGTTATTGGTCTTTTTGGTCTTGGTGCAGCCATGTAATAAGTTGATCAATTGAGAACGGAGGGAGTATTAGCTAACCATTCGGTTAACTACATGCTTATTATAATTATTTATTAGTTACCACATAGTAGTATTAATCAAGTCATATGCCCAACAATTTACCGAGGAACAACGCTAGCCCCACCTTGTTGCGGTCAACGAGAACCATGGCGTACAACGGCGACGCCGGCAGCTTGATCACGCGGTCCCTGCAGCTCTCGACGGCGAGGAGGCCGCTCATGTAGTCGTCGGCGAGGCCGCCGCCGAAGCTGCAGGCGCCGAGCTTGTTCAGGACGGCGCCCATGGCGTGCTCGGCCGCCGCGTACGCCTCCACGCACCCCTCGTACGCGCCCTTCTCCTCGCCGGAGAGCGACCCGTTGTACGTGACCCGCTCGTTGGCGGCCACCACGGTGGCGTCCGCCGACGCCATCGCGCCGCGCGCCGCGGCGAGCGCGTAGACGGTGGCGTCGTGGTCGCTCATCGGGTTCGGGACGCCGGCGAGCGCGCCCTTGCACGCGTCGTACATCGCCTGCGTGTGGCTCACGTTGCGGCACGCCGACTCCACCGTCATCGACGGCGCGCCGGGGCACGTCGTCGTCTCGTCTCCGGCACCGGCGCCGGCGACGATCAGGGAGACGGCGACGAGGAGTGGGCTGAGAAAAGGAATGGTGTTCATGGCGATCTCAGATACTACTTGGATTTTTCTCGCTCTATTTAAGGTATCCAAGGTGTCCACAACACTACACTAGAGAACAAGAATACATAAATACTACTCCATTTATGGAATCTGTGTAGAAGAGAATAAATCTTGCAATCAATTAATATCAAATCGAATCATACATAAGGTCATGTACAAGTATAACAATAATTAATAGGGGCTCTTCATATATAAAGTTGTTAGCAAGATAAGTTTGCTAACATGTATGATAAATAGGAAAGAAGAGACAAAAATCATTTGTTAAGCTTAATTAACAAGGGTTAACATGGATTAAAAGGAAAAAAAATATAATAGAAAATTATTTTGGTGCATTATTAATTGTGATACTTTGTCGTCTCAACTTAAGATAGTCTATACCGGGCTCTGTCTTTGAGCATGCTCTAATGGTTAGAAAAGAGGCCAGTTGTCGACGTTTGATGTCGCAATTCTGGTATTTGCATAGTATGGGGATCGTCGGTGCTAGAATATATGCGAGACTGAGGTAAAAGAGATGGAGACAGTGATTTTTATACAGGTTCGGGCCCCTGAATTGTCAGGTAATAACCCTACATCCTGTTGGCCGAAGCCGGTATTGCTCTTTATTCACCTGTCACACCCCAATCCGGCACCGCCGTACAACGGCACCTGATAGGAGCGTGTCATAGGAAAAACAGCGCGAGTCGCTTCTTACGAAACCGCGATCTCAGTACCAGTCCCAGGATGTAGCGCTGGTAACCACGGTGACAAATATGAATCATTGCAATCCTTAAAATAAATAGATGACTTATTTACCTTAACTTAGGTTGCAGCTCAGACAGCCCGAGAATGCAACCGACGACACGGACGAGGCAAACACCAACAACAGCGGCAGCAGCGGAACCAACGGTTTAACACCCAACACCACAGGCAGCAGCAGGGAACTAGGACGAAACCCTAATCTTTACTTCACTTCAACTTCATCTCCAGAGCTAGCAGAACTATATTTATATAGAGCAAGGGTGAGTACTTACGTACTCAGCAAGCCAGGGGAACTTAGGTGGTTAATGCAAGCTTCAAGGGAAGGCTGGTTAATTTAGCAATCAATTTTGTTTTCAAGATTTTTAACAATCTAAGTGTGTGCTTTCCACAACCAGAGCGAGACAAGTTTCAGCTCGGTCGGGGTGAGAAGTAACAAATTTATTTATCAAGATCTTTCAAATCTAGTTTTTCCCAAACCAAACCGATTTTTTCCAAACTTCCCAATAATAGTGGTCCCCAAACGACCAATCACTTCCAGGGACTCCCGGTCCTGCTGTCTACCGGACAGCTAATTGCTTCCCAAGCATTAGGTTTCCCAAACCTTAACACCTTTTCATAAAACAGGGTAAAACAAAAACTACGCTAAGGAATCACCTCACATCCGCCCATGACCGTGGGCACGGCTGTTCGAACAGTTTGTTAACCTCTGCAGAGGGGGTACACTTTACCCGCACGACATTACTAACCCGAATCACCCAGCCCGTGCAGAACGGCCACGTCTGGTGACCTAAGGGCTTTCATTACAAGGCATTTCGAGAGCAGACACAGGGTTGCCATATGCCGACGAGAGGGGTTCCAGACCAACAACAGGTTAGGTCCCAGACCATACTGTGCCAGGAAGCCCGGGGGTACTCCCCGACACCACCCCATTGAATCCACATGTCTCTCGGCATCAAGGCTCCCCCGATTAGCAATTTACTCAGCCAGGAGTGTCCCATTTCACCCGTGTGGTCGCACTATTGTATGCTCGGATGTAATTCCGAAGGAATCGGTCCTTAAATGCGACCACACAAGCATTACGCCCAGGAATGGCCTTGTGTCGCGAGTTTTATTTTTAAAACTCATTTTCTTTCACAAGGCACCGACTCAGGCGTCGGGTTTTCCAATCCTTTTGTAAACCAAGTTTTACCCAAGAAGTTACTCAAATTTTAAGTTTGAAGGCGACCGTCGATACTCGCACAGAGTGCACGAATATCGAGGCGCAACTAGATGGTTACAAGGGAACATGATATAACAATTACAATGGAAGGATCAAATGCAACAAGTTAGGTAGGCCCGCCAATCTGCCTTGCAGACGGGGCAAGCAGATTAAGTGCAATTCTATCAATGCATAATATTTTTCAAGCAATATAATTAAGTTCAAATATAGGCTCAAGATGTTCAAAGGTGGCTTGCGTTGCTCAGGGTCTTCACGGAGCTTCGCGAATCTTCGAGATATCCACGATTGACGGAAAATCCGGTAATCGCAACTATACGCAAACAATCAAAAACCTAAACAAAAGACCAAGAAAAATATCCTATTTAGACTAAATAATAGTGCCATTAAATAGATCTCAATTTTACGGAATTATTGGAAGTGGAACGGGGTCAATCGGAGTTACGGATCGGGAGATATGGATTTTGGAAGTATAATTGGAATTTCTGGGCAAAGGATATGATTTATTGGAATTTATAGAAATAATATTCTCAAGAATATTATTGACAATCACTGGTGTGCGAGACCAAGGAAAATGATTCATGGGATTTTGGAATAGAGAATTGATTTATGGAGGCAAAGGAAAAAGGATTTAATAATTTATTAACCCTTTTTGGAAAGAAAAAGATGGAGGGAGGGAAATCAGACTTTTCCCGTGCGTCTTGGCACGGCCCGAGAGGAAATGCGCGGCTCGGCCAAGTTTAATGGGCTGGCCGGCCTGGCGAGGCGGCCCAAAGGTGCGCGGGAGAGAGAGGGGGAGGGGAGCCGGGTGGACTGGGCTCACCTCGCGGGGACCTGAGCGGGCCCACATGTCGGTGGCATGGCTCACCGTGGGAGCGGTGCATGCGGCGCGTGCTAGGGTTCGGTGAGGAGGGGCGGTCCACGAGTGGCGCGTGGGTGGACGCGGTTAGCGGTGGGCCCACGCGTAGCCTCACGGCTCACAATGGACCGTGCGCGCGCGCGAGCGGGGAGCGAAGGGAGGCGGCTGACCGGCTCGGCTCGGTCAAAGCCGAGGTGGCGCCGACGTGGCGCCTTCGTGGCAGCCACGCGGGCCGGCGGGAGGAGGAAGAAGGGGAGGCCAAGATGGACGGCGGACGGCGGCCGTGTTCACCGGAGCAAGCACGACGGATTTGGTCTTCGAGGAGCACACCAGAGTGAAGAGGGCATCGAGAAGGAGCGAGCCAACGGCTCGGATTCGTCGTACGGAGTTCGACGGCGGTGGAATTCGATGGCGGCAACCGGCGGCGAGAGAAAGGGGAAATCGCCGAGGGGCGACGAGGACTCAATTAAAGGCGGCGGGAGCATCTCCGGTGTTCAAGGAACTCATTTCCGGGGTCGGATGGGGCTGAGCGGCGCCGTGGAGGTCCGGCGACGAGATGCGGCCTCCGGGGGTGGGCGGCAATGGCGGCGGGGCCATGCCGGGTGGCGGCGGTCCTTAGGGCGGCGTCTACGCGCGTTCGGCAGGGCTACCAAGCTACCACGCAATCTAGAGGGGGCGAGGGTGAGCGGGGAAGGGGAACGGGAGGGAGGCACTACCGAGCCAGGACGGCGCGGTGACGAGCAGCCAACGGCGCGGGAGCGAGCTCTCCGACGTAGGGCCGGGGAAGGGAAGAAGATGGGCGCCCAGAGTCCCGCGTCACGCGTCCACGCACGCACCGGCTCCCCCGGTGCTCGGCGACGGACGGCGACGGCGTGAGCAGGGCGGAGGCGACAATGGCGCAGTGGCGACGAGAGCGAAAACGAGAGAGATTGGGAGATAGGGCGGAGGCGACAATGGCATGGTGGCGACGAGAGCGAAAACGAGAGAGATTGGGAGATGGGGCGGCTCAGATTTTATAGAGGTGGGGGATGTCGGTTTTGGGAGGGAGGAAACCGACCTCGTGGGCGGTCAAGGAGAGGCGATCAAGGGGGAGCTGGCGGCAGGGCGTGGTCACGGGCGGCAGAGGGGGGGAGGGGTCGATGGTGCCGGTCGGGGAAAAAGCAAAAGGGGAGGGAGGAAAAGGGGGCTCTGCCCATGCCATTCTGGGAGAAAGGAGGAGGGAGAGAGGGCTCTGCCTCCGGGAGTTGGACGCACGCGGCTTGGAGCGGCCGGGCACGCGTCGCAGGGGGTGCGGGGCCGAGCGGCGCAGGCGCGGCAGGACTGACAGCGGCGGCGACTGGCCGGTCGGCCACGCGCGAGCGCGCGCGAAGGCGGTGGCGGTTCGAATTGGCGAGGAACTGGCGCGGCGAGGAGCGAGAGCGAGCGAGCGAGAGAGAGAGAGAGAGAGAGAGAGAGAAAGAACGAGATAGCGATCTCTCGGCTCGGCTCGGCGCGTGCGACGCACGTGCGAGGCTGAGGGAGGAGATAGGCAGGGGGAAATGGACCGAGAAGAAACGGCCCACAAGCCAGAGGGAGGCAAACTAGACTTTTTTAGATGGATTGAATGTGGAGACAATTTGAATTGGAGGGAATTTGAGAAGGATTTTGGAATTTAACCTTGATACTTGGACTCTAGGAACATAAGGAAGAGTCGAAGAAGGATTCAAAACGGGAATTGAATATTTTTGTAGTCGAAGCGAATATTCGGTAAGGATTCAAAGGAAGGGATCGACTTTCTGGATTTGAATTCAATTTGGATATTTGAGCTCAACAAAGTTTGGAGAAGCCAAGGAGGGGATTCAAAGAGCGAATTTGATACTTTCGAGAATGGGAAGGAATTTCGATGAGGCATGATTCTCGATGTCGATGGGAAGTTGGAGTTCAAAGCGAGAATTGATATTTTAGGGATATATTTGTATTTGGTGGCTCAAGGATTATTGGGAGGGGGGGTTTCAAAGAAATCTTGTACCTTGGGACAAATATTTGGGAAGGAGTTCAAGGATAGATAGATAGACAGAGAGAAAGGTTGATAGGTAGAGGAATGGATAGACAAATGGATAGATAAACATATAGATAGGTATAGTAGATAGATAGATGGATCGATAGATAGATAGATCGTTAGGTAGATCGATGTATAGATAGATTGATAGGTAGATAGGTTGATAGGTCGAGACTCAGAGAGAGACGGGATGGAAGAGAAGGAAGAGGTGGACCGGAAAAAGGAAGAAGGAATCCAACCTATGGGGGAGGTTAAATAGACTTTCACAGAGAGATTTAATTGGGAGGTTTTAGGGTTGGAGTCTGGATTCGAATTTCGAGGTTGATACTCGGTCTCGGGAGAATAGGAAGGAGTCAAGGAAGGGAACAATATTCGGAGACGAGTCAAAGGGAGATGGATAATTTAGAGAGAAAGAGAGTGTAACTTGGGAGCTTGAGTTTGACTACTCAACGAGATATGTGGGTAAGGATTTTGGAGAGAAGTCTAAATAGAAGGGTTCGGACTTCGAGATTATTTCGGAACGGAAATCATTTTGGGGAGAACTCAAGGCGAAAGGGATTGAATCTTGGGGTTTAGAGTTCAAGGGTGGAAGTGATCTCGATTTGCATATTCAGACTTGGGTCAGAAGTTCGAGAAATAAAACAAGGGTAGATTGACGAACCGATAAAGAGAGAAAGATAGATGAATCAAAACCTGAGAGGTTGAATTCGAATTTGAGAATCGGTTTGAAGGAACCAAGGAGAGAGTTTATGACGCGAAGGTGAATCCCTGAACGGAGTTAGGGTTCGGGCATTCGACAAAGTTTACGGATGGGGTTCCAGGAGGGGATTCCGAATAGAAGGAATCGAGCTTCGGGACTATATTGGGATGAAAATTTTGAGGAGACGATCTTTGATAACAGGGTATCGAGACAAGGGAGGGATTTTTAATTGAGATCTATGGCACAACTTAGACTCAATCACTCAAGAACGAAATTTTCGCAATTAGGATTTTTGTAAATTAGCTTTTTAACGTCTCGCGAAAAGCGGGGCGTTACATCACCATAATCACACCAGTACAATATGTGGGGTAGCCTATCTAACTGTTGTCGACATGGCGGTCTGAAGGTCTGACTCGTAGTCGACAACAGGGTAGCCTTCCTCCTCGAGCTCGCGCCCTGACGGAATCAGAGACAATGCTAGATCCCTACGGCCAGCCTCTGAAGGTACCGGATAGGGTCGATCCAAGCGTATCTCTGATGTCGATATCCGGCGGCTTGTCTTGGCGTATGTTGGCTTGTATGTTGTGGCTTCTATGTCGATTGTGTTGGGTGTTGATTGTCTCTCCCCTCTCCTCCTAGGGGGCTTGTATTTATACCCATAGGTGTCCCCTTGTTCAAGTAGAACTAGGGAAATCAATATGGATACAATCCGAGTAGTACTTGTCGTTTCCATGTAGAACTCTAGTTGTCTTTCCTTATCCGGAACTCCCTCGAGGTCAGTTCGTATAAGACATGATATGTGGTGGATCCTGTCGAGATTTAGTCAACTACTATTAGGTATGTGGTATCCATAACCTTGACACCAATACAGATTTCTAGTTTTGAAATTATTCGAATGAAGAAAATAGTAAAATAGGGATTAATTCAAGGGGGGACATGTCATGGATAACCTGGCAATTACTATTTACTAGTTTCCAGTTTGAATTATTTAGATTAACACAATATTGAAGTTGAAACAGAAACAGAAGAACAAGTTTGGTATCTGTAATTTTTTAAAAAAATTAGCTCGAGAAACCAATATGCCCAAATACAAATATTTTTACTAGTTAAGCTATTGAATTATGTAATAAAAAACTGATTTCCTCTCGTATGAAATGGTCAAGTTCCCTAGTTGTCAGAGATTTGGTCACATTAGTTGGATAAACTATCGACAATAATATGTTTGGTAGATCGGGTCAAAACTAACAAACTTAAACCGTTTATTTTTATTAAATACGAAAATGGGAATAATTACTCTTATTTACTTAGAAAACTAGCACATCATTTTGTGGACGACTACTGGCAACATCTAATATTTGGGATAATCTATACTACACTAAAAGGAGAGTTTTATCGGTTCGTCCACACTTCCTGATCGCACGTGAATTTATTCTCCCTACCCACATAAAAAATTCATTAAGAAAAGTGGAAACGTGTAAAAACTATAAAAGGCTCACGTCCCTAGGTTCCGTTGCAATATAAAAGGTCAAAAACCAAAAGGCTTGTGTTTCCCAAGATTCCGTTGCAACACACGGACACCCTATTATTAAAGTTTAAAACTATATTTTAATACATCCGTTTTCGTTGCTTCTAACAAGAAATAAATGGTGAGCGATGACAATATTCACGTACATTTCCCGCTTCGGTTTGAGTGCTTCCCTGTGTTCTATTTAACTTATTGTTTACGACACAACTATGATCTCCAAATACATATATTTGATCTACGAATTTTTTTCAACATAGGCACAAAAAAGTTTGACAATGATCAAATTCAATCCTTTTGGTTGCCTCCCATGATTTCACGGCTTTATATCGTAAACGCTAACTGATCAGTTTTCAGTTGCAATATGTAATTTGCGTGTGCGTGTTGCTAATCTTGTCACATGTGCCGCAAACATCACCATCTTTTTATCTTTTTGTTTTTGAACGCATTGCTGCCACCAATTGATCATCTACGACGAATTTTGACAAGATTCATGCGAAATTTCGACGAACATTAGCAAGCCAAAGTGCAAAACATGTATAGATCCAGTAAATTTGACCGTGCATTAGATTCGATCGATGCAAGAGCCATCGCATTTTTAGACCAAGCAAACTGTGAGCAACAATGGCGTCGTCTAGGTCTCCGGCGACGGCTACGGCGACGGCGTCGGCGGCGGCGGCGGTGTCGGCATCGGCACGAGGTTCGAGAGCAAGCCGACGAGCATGGTCTTGTTTCGGTCGGCGAGGTTCCGGCCGTACAGCGGCGACGCCGGGTAGCCGAACAGCTTCCTCCTGCACGCGTCCATGCCGGCGAGGCTGCCGTCGCAGTCGTCCCTCAGGCGCGCCGCCGCCGTCTCGCAGCTCGCCAGGTCGCCGGCGACGCGGCCCATGAAGCGCACGGCGAGGTCGTACCCGGCCATGCACCGCTCGTGCGCCGTCCTCTCCTCGGCGGGCAGCGCGGCGCTGTACTGCATCCCCCGCTTCGCCGCCGCCGTGGCGGCGTACGCGTCGAGCGCGCCGCGCGCGGCCGCGCCGACGTAGCGCGTGACGGCGTCGTCCCGACGGCGCCGGTGCTCGCCGCCGCCGCGGCGCGCGCGCGGCTGGAGCGTGCGGAGGCAGAGCTTGAGCATGTGCGCCGTGCCGCACACCGCGTCGCACGCCTGCTCGACGGTCATCGACGGGACGGGAGCGCACCACCGGGCGTCGCCGCCGGTGCAGGAGACGAGGCACAGGGCGGCGAGGAGCGGGACGACGGCGGCGATGGCGAGAGAGCCGATGGGTTTGACCATGGTGTTCTTGATTGGGTTTGCTTTGCTCACGGCGAAGGCGAAGGCGAAGCGTCGAACACCTACGAGGAGTCCGCTGCTTTAAAGCGTCTCTTTGGGAAATCTGAAAGCAAAGTAATTCCTCAAATTATATAATTTCTCAAATTTATATATAACACGTGAAGAATGTGTGTTGCAAAATGGTATTGAAGGTGTCACTTGCATGTGGGGTCTGGGCCCACATGTAAGTGACACGTTGCAGTTTAAGCTTGTTTTTTTACTACTACTAAGTGTTAAGAGACATTTTCCTTAATATACTTATTTGGTATAGGTGTTTGTGTAGGAAAGGGTATTTAATTGCACATTTAAGGGCAGTACCACAATACCTAAATTATTACTCTGGGATAACTATATACTTTGACCGTAGTTTTTTTTTTCCCTTTAGGAATTGTACTCCCGTACGAGCACCGGAAAAAAAACCAAACCGGAGATGATAAGGATCAAATGTATTCTCTCCAGTTTATTTGAAAAATTGAAAGAACTAAAGTCCAAATTTAACAACAGGAAGTAAATAACCGCTCACGAATATAAACTACTATAAAATGTATAATAACAAACATGTGTTCGAAGAGTCGATGAAGAAGATGACGGTGCAAACGGGACATTATCACATTAGACTTTAAAGCGTGACCATCAGTTTTTTTTAAAAAAAAAAATGACACCCTTCACGTTGCTCAGAGAACATTGGCATGTAAATGGCAAATGACAAGCATGGTGCGCATGCCAATTGTCAGCAGCTTAAACAATAACCAGCCTTTCAACTAACAAAAAGAAATGGTAGAGGTCCAAATTTATATCTAGTTGAATCAGGCTGGGCTTTTAAACTGGGCCAGCATAAGCTGAATTCCAGCCTCAAAAGCAGCCCATCTTCCCACTTCTCCTTCAGACCAGAGACTAGAGGTCTCATCTTTTCGCATATACTTATAATTATCAGCCAAAATTTAAATTTTCAACCTAAAATTTGAAGATGGTTTTAGGAGGTTTTTTCATCGAAGTTTATTTTTCAATCTTTACTTTTAAATCGCTAAAAACACGTATATAAAAGTTTTATTCATAAATTACTTTCTGTTTGCAAATATACGGTTTGGCTTATCCCACGAATAAGCCAAACGATGGGGCCACAGAGCTTTTTACTTACTACTGATTTTCCACATTTTTGTGCAATAACAAGTCAGCAGAGAGCTCTCAGACTGCTGTAGGGCTTTATACTACTATTGTATTTTATTTGAAAACTGTTGCATTTTAACCATATACTCCATATATTCCATGGAGAATAATTGGTCTACCCTCTATTTTATGTGCACTACTGGAGAAACACTCTTCTCTCCTGGTTTGTAACCCCCTTTACTCCCGAGTAGCGACGTGTGTTTTCTATGGTGCCACTCACAATGTATAATGATATTTATAGACTACACTTCCAGAGATATGTCGTATATGTTTCGCAGACTTTTGAACCATATCTTTTTTTTTCTCAAAAATGCAGGAGAGCTTTGTCCTCTCAACTCGAGGTTGTAGCATACATGAAATTTACATATGTTTCTAGGCCCAAATGAAAGTCAAAAGACCTCTAGCTCATAGTTTGATTAAACATGTAGGTTATATTTGTACTGGTTTCTTATGTGGAACCATAGAAGGAATAATTCAACCACATTCGCTAGTGGGAGCACTTGAGGAAGACTAAAGCTTGAAAGGGGCTTCACTTCTGGCTATACATTCCATTTCATTAAGAAAAAACAAAGGTATATACAAGAAAAAAGGAGGAAAATAAACACCTCTCACAAAGAGGAAAGGCTTGACCCACCGCTAGACCTAATTAGGCGTCTAGTGTTAACGACTTACAAAAGAACTTGTGGAGTGCACGTACGAGAGGCTGCTACAAACTACTTTCCGTGGACATTGATGTCAAAACCACTACAAGAGAGGACTTTGGAACCATAGTACCAAGCATGATTAGACATAAAAAAATTTTGTAACTCTATAATGTAATAGTCTCTATGTGTGTGAGTCATTTGTCATAATCATATCGTATATGAGATTAATTTAACGTGGGTGAAGATTGTCTTTTTTTTTCTTGCTCATGGATGTGGTAGTAACATTAATGCATACTAGCACACCATCACATGCAAAGCCGCCACGGTCTGTAAGACTGACGACAGGGTCGACCCTGACTTTCCTGAACCTCCAATGCGATTAATTATGCATGCATCTATATATGTACACGTTATTTGCTTTTATGAAGTCATCAAATTCATAGGGTAGTCTTGGAGATGGAGGAGACTAATTAAAATTGTGTATTCAGGTTTTCTCAGAGAATATATCCAAACATAATTAAAGATGGAAACCATCGATATATACCCAATTACAAAGGAGTAGCATATAGTTGTTCATTTATATGATCGACAAATAATCGTCCAAGCACAGCATATTTCAGGTGTCATATATATTTGCAAGTTTCATGCCTCAGGCCCCAAGTTCAAATTAAGTTCCAGCTTTTAATTTTTGAGGTCTAGAAATTTCCAAGTAGGTTTGGGAAATAGGGTGTGTTTAGTTCACGCTAAAATTGAAAGTCTGGTTAAAATTGGAACGAGATGTGACGGAAAAGTTGGAAGTTTTATGTGTGTAGGAAAGTTTTGATGTGATAGAAAAGTTGCAAGTTTGAAGAAAAAGTTTGGAACTAAACAAGGGCATAGTTGTACTTTTTGAATCTTTTATTATTATTTACATAAACATTAATTTTAAGAGGCGAAAGGTTGCTAGCTTCATTCCTATCTTTTTCTGATATTATACAGGGTTTGAATTTTCAATATCTGCGCAAAAAAAAAGAATTTTCAATATGCATGGTCAGCCAAGCATGTTCAGAATTAAACTCTATATCCAAGTCGTGTTTTTAATATCGGACAGAGATAGAATGCATACGTGGTAGCGTTTGAGATAAATTAAGATGTCGATGAAGTCAGCGTGTGCAAAAAAAATAATCATTAGTGTATGATTAATTGAGTTTTATTATTATAATCTTCAAAAGTAAATTTATTTGATACTTTAAAGTAAAGTTTTCACTTATATACATCGTTTAGTAATTTAAAAAACATGCTAACGAAAACCGATCTAAAATATGTAAATTGGGAAGTTTACATCATGTGATGGTTCCATATTTAAAATTTGTCTCTATCAAATGTGAAATTATTATCATGATTAATATTTGTGATGAACAATTGGCTTTACAAATGATTTAATCAATGAATTGGTTTGAGAAAGTGTGTGGATGTTGATGTGAGTGCGTGTGATTAATGTGGATCATGTTGTGATATATGTGTTAGAATTGAAACAGTTGTTTTTTCTGATTATGTGCAGGTGACTTGAGGTCAGCCTTGATCAATGGTAAGGATCGTGACTATACTCATGGAGGAGCAGAAGTCTAGTGCGATCAGGATACCATATGAGAAGTTACTAGAGTTATGATTCTTGGAGGTCACCTTCGGTCAACGGTGGGGGTGGGGATTAGACTAAAGGAGGAGTTGAAGTCCAAACGATTAAAGATAACGGGTGACGAAGTTGGATACGAGATGACACACGGTAGATAGACACCGTGTAGGAGAAATCTTCGTAACAGGCTTTACGAGGTGTGCGTGCAAGCGTCAATGTTCGCGAATGAAAACTGGAAGAAAAATGGAGCGGAGTTGCTACAATAATACTCGCGGTACTGTAACATGGCATGCATATGTCTGTACTGTGTCGTGCAGTATGCATGTGTGATGGATATATACATGCATGTGTGGCATGTGGTGACTGGTGACTTTGGCTTTGCGTGGTCAAGCAGCAGCAGCAGCAGCGATGGATGATGATCGGGAGGCATGAATGTTGACTATGCATGGTCGGACCGGCGGCGGCACTGTCGTTAGATCGGAGTTGATGGTCAGACCGACTGCGTCAATTTCTCCATCGATTTTAGATAACTTTTATTTCCATAAAAGTTTTTGGGTTTGTGGTTTTTCCGTCCATTTATCTCTCTCAGGTAGGTTTCTTTGGTTTTGTTCTATTCTACATCAAATTCACACGTCCTTTATTTGCTTGTGATTATATGTGGACATTAATTGGGTTAAATTTTAGGGATAAATAAGGATATGCCCCATTGTTTCGCATATGCTTATATTTATAAGCTAAAAATTAAAAATTAAAACATAAATTTAAAGACTTTGTGGTTTTTTCATCATAATTTATTTTACAACATCTGCTGTTGAATAGCTAAGAACATTTATATTATATAAAATTTTTATCTTTAAGTTATGTTAACGTTTTAATTATTAATTAGTACGGATAAGCCTATGTATAAGTGAAATGGGCCATTTATATATCTCAAAGGTATAAACCTCTCGGTTGACTTTCATTCAGAAGTAGTACGTGCTAGATCAACAGTGAGTGTACTATTCACGATTGATCCTTTCCTTGTTAGGATGAGATCTCCAGAGAATACTGCAAAAGTCAATAAACCTATCTCATAATTCAAAATTATGCACAGAAGATGCAAGAGAGTACATCTTGCTACTACAGTGATAGTGTGGTACTATATGGCATAGAGTAGAACATTTTTTGTGGTAATTCAGCTATCTATGTGCACAGTCAGGATCCTTATATTTGTGGACTGAGGTAGTACCATGTAGGTTGTAAATCGGAAATTAGTGATCCTCATTTATCAATTTTTTGAGTCGTGGCAAGAATGAATTAATAAATAAACAGTATTTGTTATTGATTAATGTGGTTACAGTTACTGCTAGAAATATTTGAGACAATTAAAGGTGCTAAGTAGGAATAAAAGCATCGTGGGAGAAAATTATTCGCACAACATTATACTACACATGCAGCTGATTGCGGAAAACATATTCGCTCTATTTCAATTTACTTATCGTTCTAGCAAATCTTATATTAAATTTGAAGGTAGTTGCCACTCTAATTAATTAATTACATCATAATTATTTCTTACGATGCATATACAACTTTTTTTCGAAGAAATACTATAATTACCCTTGTAATTTCTTAATTACTATAAAAAAAGAATATATCATCCCCGTTGTAAAAAAAGAATGAAGATACCATGTTGACGGTGTGTTCTACTTCTACACCTTCCGTTTGAAAATAATAATATGAGGATTTGAGGGCGACGATGTGTGAAAAATCTAATACGTGTGTATGTGCTATAGAAGCGGAGTGTTGCATGCATCAATGAACGTGCCCGTATGTGTGGGTTGTTTACTGCCGTGAAAATCGGAATTATAACTATTTTTGTGATTTTTGACGATTCACGTAATTAGTCGTATGGTTAGCACATTGCAGTTTTTATGGATGGTTTTTTTTTTGCTTTGTGACATTTAGAACTTGCAATTTTAATTTAAAAACTCATGTCAAAATTTCAAAACTTTTTAACTCAATTTTCAAAATTCAAAACTTTCCACTCAAATTAAAAAAAAAACTTTCAACTCCAAATTGAATTACTTCTCAAATTTCAAAATTTTCATATCAAAATGTAAAACATTCAACTCAAATTTAAAAACTTTCAACTTAAATTTTAAAACTTTTAACTCAAGTTTTAAAAACTTTTCAAGTCAAATCAAGATTTGAAACTTTTAACTTACATTTGAAAACTTTCAATCAAGATATATTCAATTTTGAATTTTGTAGTTGAAAGTTTTAAAATTTAAGTTTTGAGTTTTGAGTCTTGAGATGAAAATTTTGAAATTTGAGTCCAAATTCGAGTTGAAAGTTTTTAACATAATATTTTAAAATTTGAGGTGAAAAATTCAAATTCTAAATACATTAAAAATAAAAAAAATCACAAAAAAAGGCACGCAAGAAAAATAGTTGCAAAAAACACAAAAAAAACGTGAAGAAAAGCGCATGTGTGGATAGACGCGTCTGTGTCAATTAGCAACACTCGACGACATGTTCTATTTCCGCACCTTCCATTTCAAATGGTTATGTGTGGTTGCTAGTTTGCTACTGTTCTCATAGAAGAATCCACACCTTCGACTTTTCTAAAGTTTTATCATCATTAGTATATTTAAGACTATATTGGCTATAACTTTGTGAAGTTTACAGGCCTCCTTTGGGAAAAGAATTCGTGAACGAATTATGTGGGATTTTAGGGAATTTTTCTTCTAGGCCATTAGAACTAAGAATTGGAGCAATCAAAATTCTATGAAATTCCTTTATAATGTTTCAATGTATCAAGATTTCAGAGAAAAGCTAACACGATGTCCAACCTCTTATAAAGTTATATTTAAATCAAAATTTCCAATCTAACGCGGATATTTCTGATTAACATATTACAACCCTAGTATATGTATATATAGATAGATATGGAAGCAATCACGTAATAGAAAAAAAAATACTAACTAGTACGTTAGATACTAATAGTTAGTATTTATTTAATTATTCGCTAACAATATGTCACGTTTTTCATACCACAATTATAGCTCATGCCCCAACATCATGATTGAACGCTGCCTTAAAAAATTGAACCATATGCTTCTGTACTTCCTGAACGATCGTTCTGTTATATGCTTGCTTGGTGCGGCATCTCCTGGCGATGTCGACGATATCGTACCGTATTGAACAGACTTGTTCGGCTTCATAAACGATTTCGAAATCTATTATTAACTGAGATTTGGTGTACTCTTATATAGGATTTATTGATTTGGAAATCGTTTCTCAGCTATGCTACACCAAATCTCTCAGTTAATGAGGTTACTCTTATATAGGATTTATAGATTTGGAAATCGTTTCTGAACCATTAGATGACAGAGTAAATGCGATATGAACCGCTCGATGAAATTTGAGCATTGAATGCTTTTATATGATTTCTGGCCTAAGTTTATTATCCCAATTAAAATGATATAATATAGATAGAGAGATATGGATCAACATCACCTAATAGAAAAAAAATACTAATATAAGATAAATACTACAATAAATACCAATAACTATATAGAGCTGTATAGGATAGGATTACTACATATAGGATGAATATGGTAAGGAGTATATATTTACCACTATTAATTTTGTAAAAATAAAAAAAATCAGTAGTCCTTTTCAAAACTGGAACCGTTGTTGCATCATCTCACCCACCTGCGTGCTCTTGCATTGCTCCACTCACCAAGACTGAAATTCTAGTGTCCACCAATACGACGCATATGTAAGTGGATTTTTAACCGGGATATTACCAATATGCAATGAGATCAGGAATGTACCATTGGTTTCCATCTCTTAGAGCATCTATTAGAGGACACATTCGTGTGGATGTGACTGTGGTGTTGCGTATGTAGTGATGTATGTCTGCCATGTAATTGAAAAAAAGAAAAGATAAAATCTTTAGATCTTTCTTTTTTAAAATCTTATTTATAAAATAAACTAATTCATATCAAATCTCTGTAATTAATATTTGTATGTTAAAAGTTAATCTACTTTGAAATAGAGGTAGTGGGTGATATATATTTGGTAGGGAATACTAAAATATTACCATTATTAACTTTTTTTTTATGAAAAAGGAAAAAGAAAAACAAAATCCGAAGTCCTCTTTAAAAACCGTAACCGCGCGCCCTCTTCTTCCTCCCGCCGCCGCCGCCGCCGCACTCCGCTTCCCGCTCACACGCCCCCACCACCGCCCTCGCCCTCGCCTCACTCTCCTCTCCGGCAATGCAGCGCGACGCGATCGCCGCCGCCCGGAACGCCGGCTGCTCGAGCGGCCGCATCTCGCAGCCGCCGCCGCCGCCGTTCTACTCCGCCGCCACCGGAATCTACAGCAGCATCCACCCTCCCGTGGCGCTCCCCACCGACCCCTCCCTCACCCTCGTCGCCCACCTCTTCGCCCGCCTCCCCCTCGCCGACCCGGGCGCCCCCACCCTCGTCGACGCCGCCACCGCGTCCGCGGTGTCCCGCGCCGACCTCCGCCGCCTCGTCGCCTCCCTCGCCGCGGGGCTCCGCCGCCGCCATGGCGTTCGGAAGGGGTCCGTTGTGCTGCTGCTCCTCCCGAACTCCGTCGCGTTCCCCGTCTCGTTCCTCGCCGTGCTCGCCGCCGGCGCCGTCGCCACCACCATGAACCCCTCCAGCTCCCCCGCCGAGATTGCCGCCCAGGCGCGGGCCACCGGCGCATGCCTCGTCCTCGCCTCGCGCGACGGCGCCGCGAGGCTCCCGCCTCTCGCTGCCCCCGTCGTCCTCGTGCCCGAAATCCTGGACCATTCCGCCGCGGCCGACGACGGCGACGACGACCAACGCGTGTTCGCCGCGTTCCGCGCCATGCTCGACGGCGGCGGCGGCGACGGCACCGAGACGGCGGTCCCGGTGGTGGGCCAGGACGACGCGGTGGCCATCCTCTACTCGTCGGGGACGTCGGGGAGGAGCAAGGGGGTGGTGCTGACGCACCGCAACCTGATCGCCATGACGGAGCTGTTCGTCCGGTTCGAGGCGTCGCAGTACCACGCGCGAGGTGCTCGCGAAAATGTCTACATGGCGGCGCTGCCCATGTCCCACGTGTACGGCCTCTCCCTCTTCGCCGTCGGCCTCCTCTCGATCGGTGCCACGGTGGTGGTGATGAGGAGATTCGACGCCGGCGACGCCGTCGCCGCCATCGGGAGGTACAAGGTGACGCACATGCCGCTCGTGCCGCCCATCATGGCGGCCATGGTCAGGGCCGCCGCGGCCGGCGGCGTGCCGCCGTCGCAGGTGGCCTCGCTGGTGCAGGTCTCGTGCGGCGCGGCTCCGATCACCGCCGCGCTCATCCACGAATTCCTTCAGGCTTTCCCCCACGTCGACTTCATTCAGGTCATGAGCTCACTATTTCATTTTGATTTTGTTAGTTTTGCTAGTAATCAGTTCGTCTGAAATTTGTGTTCAACTATTTTTCTCTTCAGATTTTCTTGAATAATTTGATTCCAGCTATTTTCCTTTTATGCTATTTAAGTAAAATTTATTTTGTGGCTGGAATAGGTTTATGTAGAGGCCGGATTTATTTTCATTATTATTGAATATTACCCACATTCCCAAAAAGACTTCACTTTTGCCTATAAACCTAGACAGGCCTTCGTCCAGATTCATAATGTTTCTTTTTACGTAGGTGGTATGTAGGATTTATTTCGATTATTTAAAAGTAGAATTTATTTCCATTCATGATTGATAGATAAGATAGAATCAATCACCTGATGAATAGAATCAACACACTAACTAATTTTGAAATGTACACTGCAGGGTTATGGCATGACAGAATCTACTGCCGTAGGAACTCGCGGATTTAACACTAGCAAGCACAAAAAGTATACCTCGGTAGGCCTTTTGGCCCCCAACATGCACGCCAAGATTGTTCATCTTGAGAGTAGTTCATGTTTGCCTCCAGGCTTCTCAGGGGAGCTATGGCTCCATGGCCCAGGAATCATGAAAGGTAGTATTGCACTACCATTTCATGGATGCATGGCTTTCAGATTTACATAATCCTTCAGCTCTTTTTACCTGTCATTGTTAATTTGGTTGTCCTGTGGTTTAGCTTAATTTCGTTTCTTTTGACCTTGCTGTAGTGTTGTTGCTTTGTGAGTACTTCATGTTGTTAATGCCATACTTTTCTTCTATGTTCATTTGTATATATATTTGAGTCAACAAAAATTTGCTTCTTGACAGGTTACTTGAGTGATGATGATGATGCCTGCACGAGAAAGGATGGCTGGTTGCGTACCGGAGACATTGCCTACTTTGATCTGGATGGCTACCTATACATTGTAGGCCGCTTGAAGGACACAATCAAGTACAAAGGATTTCAGGTATGGCCTCCTGTTGCCACCTTTGAAATTTAGCCGACTTATTTACCGCTGGTCCGGCGAAAAAAAATGAGAAGAAAAACCCAGTTGTTGTTCTTGTTCTTTGTGTTAATTTTGAAGAAGAGAGTTCGTATATAATGTAAGAAAGTCTTGATCTGGTCGTTTTCCTTGGTTATCACCAGATAGCTCCGGGGGACTTGGAAGAAGTTTTGATCCACCACCCTGAAATTCTTGATGTTGCTGTGACATCGTAAGTGTTTTTTTTCTTTTTTTGGTTCCTTTCTGAAAGACTGAAACAGTATGGTCTATAATATTTGTCACCATGTTCTTCAGCTTGCTTCTTTTAATTCTCCTGTTTTGTTATACATAGTGCTGAGGATGAAGAAGCTGGAGAGATACCAGTAGCTTTTGTGGTGAGGAGATCTGGAAGCAACCTTTCTTGTAAGCAAGTGATGGAGTATGTGGCCAAGCAGGTATGAACAATCTACTACACATCAAAGAAGCAGTGTTTTTGTTTTCTTTCTTCCAAATGTTTTAAACCTCAACAAGTCTTTAGTTACATATACTTCTATATTGCAAACTCATTAACAATATTGAGCATTTGCGCTTCCATTATACAATTTCATTCCTCATCTGTTTGAACAATTATATTCCTCAAACCCAAGTGTCCTCAGATGTAAACCTTATGATCTTACATGTATGAAGGTTGCTAAGATGAAGTAAGTGAAATGTAACATGTTGTGATGCAGGTTGCTCCATATAAGAGAGTGAGGAAGGTGGTATTTGTGGAGGCAATTCCCAAGTCACCTGCTGGAAAAGTTTTGAGGAGGCTTCTCAGGAACTCGCATGACACTGCTGCTGCTGCTACCTCTTCTTGCAGTATCAGCTCCAAGCTCTGACCGTCACTTCACTTCAAAAAAAATTCTCAGAGGTTTATAGTCTTACACTCCCTCCATCCCAAAACGTAGCGTCCAGATTTATAGCCGGAAATAGCTACATTTTGGGACGGAGGGAGGAGTTGATAATATGAAGCTGTACTTCAAACTCCCCGGGTTGTGTTGCATATCTCTGAAAATATTTAATGTCTGTAATGCTTATTGCAAATACAGGTGCAAACATCCCAAAAAAAAAAAGAATCTCAAGTGAGAAGCAATGCGTTTATATTACGAAACGCCAACCAGCTTAACTGTGGTATCTAACAAAGGAAATAGGATGGTTCCAGGGAGAAAACAAAGAATAATGGGGGCAAAAGGCAACCAAACTCAATTTAATGAAGCCAAACAAACTGGTCCAGAAGTGAGCTTATCCACCATTTCAGCAACACATAAACTGCCAGATACCAATATAGGAACAACATCTAGAAAAAAAAGGGGGAAGATGAAAACAATAGTAGCCTCCCTAAAAGAATCCAATAGTACCTGCAACCAAACTATTCATTGAAATTTATCAGTGCATCTAAGTTCTAATCTACTGAGGGAGGCCAGATGACTGATGACTGCCATGTTACAAATGGCAGGGAGGATCTTGGTTTTCCTGCCCCACGTCTAAAGTTTGCACACTAGAGAACAATCTATGAGCCAGTTTTTGGCCCAAACCAAAAGAGAAAATATGGGGTTCTTTTCTACAAACAAGAATAAAGTAGCGGTACAGATCAAAGTCCGGTTTTCAAGCTCTTCGGTCCCTGCAACCTTTTCCTGGCTTTCTGAGCTCTCGAGATGCTAGAAATCAGATGACTACATACATCGTATGTACTGTCGTAACCCATTAGTTTAACACCAAGATCTTTGCATAGAACTGCTATCCTACTTTTATCATTGTCGCATTCCAATAGTTCAGTTGCTTGCTCTTGCGAGACGGTGGCGTATAAATAAAACACCTCTTGGTCTATCTTCTCAGCCACAGGGTCCTGATCCTTCTGATTACCCTTTACTTTGCGTTTCTTGGAAGGCAGAAGCAAAGGCTTCTCAAGTGTAATCCTAGCCAATCCCGGAGCCTGTTCCTCCTCAGGTGTAATATAGGAGAACACGAACGAGAATCTTCCACATTCTAGATCTGGCTCCATGAAAAGGTCGTCCAGTACATTATTTATAAGTCTGATGCTTTTCTGCAGGGCATACTTCTTATAATCAGAATTCAATCTACTTTCCGAAGCATGGAGAATCTTGGAAGCTTCCCTTAGTCCACTCAATAAAGCTCCATGCATTGTTGCAGGGTATGCACGATTTGTTGCTTCTCCAGCAAAGAATAACCGGTCATTGACGCTCTCAGCGAGAATATCATAGTCAGTGCCAGAAGACCCAACTCTGATGTGAGAGTATGAACCTGAGCAAAGAGGATCACTACCCCATCTTGTGCAACATGATTGAATGGGATCAGGCACTGTAACACCTTTGGGGCCATAGATACCTGGAAAAAGTCACAAAAGTGAGTTCATTGGTTATTGAAATAGAAAACCAAAAAAAAAAATTATATAATGAGATATTGGAAACTAAGCACATTTCTCCTAGTTGTTTTTTTACCCTTTCCATTACAAACCACAAATTCATATTACAAGATAATAATGGAAATAATTCACATTCTCCAAATCATGTTTCACTCTGTCTGATGTTTCATTATTTGCAAACCATTCCATATTCATCACACAGTTTATTTGCCCCCACTATGCCAATAGACTTCCAATATGCACATTGGTGCACACTGCACATCAAACTAGTATGATATAGTGCAAAAGAATAGCATATTCTTTATTTATTTAAACTCTAAAGTAAATGAAAAAATGTACTAGTCATCGCATTTGTAACAGAATCTTTAAAATATCTCATTATATAATTTCCTTCCCTTCCATTCCTTCTTTCCATCTGTATACTCTTAATCTAAAAGGAGCACTTCAGTGTTCAAACACCATCCAAGTTCCAATCCATATTAATAACTCTATAATAAAATTTACTGGTTAGTTGAGGATTGTAGATGGTAAGACAGTACACAGATAGTGTACACAATCCAGAGTTAATTTTTACAGAGCTGTTGACTTGTATTATTAGTATAAACACTTCAAGTTAAATCAACACAACATGGCACTCCAATAAATTATGGAATTGGCATGACTCTACTAGGTTCCAAATATACCCTTGATGGTTCTAATGCAACCATCCAATGCATATGGCAGGGACTACTTGAATTAATACAACAAATCCGATTGTCATAGCAAAATTTAAATCTAATCTTAAATCAACACATGACACATTGTTCTTTTTCTTTAATTTATGTGACACCTTGTTATGCCATTCCATAATTCATTCCCCCATTTTCTAATATGCAAGGAGTTCATACTTCATACTTAAAGCTTATCCATACTCCATCCTTGTTAGAAGACTTCAAAAAAATATGGTCTTATGGAGATACATTGGAATGTAAGTTCAGTGATTACCTTTAAGAATACCAAGGACCCTATGAAGTGCTACAGCAGGATCAACCTTTTCAAACTCCAAAGCAGCTTCTCCCGCAACAAGTGCGATAAGTACCGCACCACCAGAGACAGTGTGGTAGCTGTAGAAGAGAAAGAACTCGCCACGCTTGCTCCTCTCCTTATTCAAACACCCAAATGTGTCAATCTCCTCATCCCAAAATACATGGGGAAACACCATGGCGACTTTGTTCAACAACCCAAACCCCAACCTCTGGATTGCTTCAAGCTTCCTCTCTGGCAACTCCGGTTCAAAAATGATGCTCCTGCTCTTGAGCACTCCAAGTGGAGCAGTGCAGAGTGCCATGTCAGCCTTGAAAACCTGGCCTCCTTCCACGGTGATGCTCACCCCATCCTCCCCATGCTCAATCCGCTTCACCGTCTTCTCATACAACACCGGCACACCATCGCACAATGCGTGTACCAGCCTCGCATTCCCTCCGGCTAGGAAGCAATGGTCTCCCCCCATCTCATACTGGTCATCCTGGTCCCAGTGCGCGAGCGAGAGCTCCGATAGGCAGCCGGCATTGGAGAATTCCAGGTTAGCCAAATGCCAGTCCAGAACCTCCCTCTCCTCGACGCTTTTCGCCACCTTGTAAAAGCGTCTCAGCCTCTCTATACCTTCCCCTAGCGAGATCCCCTCGGCTGCCTTCTTGAGATACTCTCGCAGCCGGGTGGCGTGTTCTAGAAGCGTGTTGAACACCAGATCCATGCTCCTGTCCAGCTTCATGTCCACGGTGCGGCCGTCGTGGTGGTAGAGCGGGCAACTGTCTCGCACCTTGTGGAGTGGAATCCCGAGCTGCCTGGCGAGCACGCCGAGCGGGTTGGTGTGGATGCCGGTGATGACGCTGCCGCCGAGCTCAACGGCGGCCTGGTCCCCGCCGAGATGAGTGGTGTAGACGCGGCCGCCGGGGCGGGCGCGGCCCTCGAGGACGAGCACGCGGAGGCCGAATCGGAGCAGCTGGCGCGCGGCGGCGAGGCCGGCGAGACCGGCGCCGACGACGAGCACGGATGCGGCGAGGCGCTGCGGCGCATCGGGTGGTGGGGAGGCGGGGAACGCGGCGGAGACGCCGAAGTTGATGTGGCCCTCCCGGGCGAGGAACCCGTGCGCCACGGCGACAAGGTTGTCGTAGCTGGCGGCGACGGTCTCCTGCACGCGCGAGCGCGGGAGCGGCACCCGCGGGTCGGCGCGCCACGAGGCGAGGATGTGGTTGCGGACGACGATGTAGTCGTTGGGGGCGGCGGCGACGGGGGCCGGCAGGAGGGGCCGCTCGGCGGGGAGCAGCTCGTCAATGGGGAAGCCCAGCGAGAGCGCTATTAGCGCCTCCGTCTCCGTCTCCCGCTGCCGCTCGTCGGCGGAGAGGCGGCGCAGCCGGCTGATCCGCCGCGACCTGGCGTTCCCGAGGTAGGACTCCAGCTCGGCGTCCACCAGCGACTCGTCGTACGACGACCTCGCCGTCAACGCCGCCCTCCTCGCCGGCCGCCGCGACGACGACGACATCGCCGCCGACGAGGTTGGGGTTTCTCTCGCTTCGCGGAGGCGAGGGGAGAAGAGAAGAGGTGGGTGAGGTGGGGTTTCGACTTTAATGGGGGGGAGGCTGACTGGTGGGCCCGCAGTCGTCAGCTCTGGACTGTGGTTTGTACCCATCTCGTGGGTCCCACTTGTCAGTGTGAGGGTAAGACGAGTCGGCGGTGCTAAGCGGTGTTGACTTCTTACAAGGACGTGTTCCCATGTCTCAATGGCAGGTGGGCTCCATCAAGCGTGGGCCCACATGTCTGCCACCTGGGTGTGGATGAGATCGTCATGAGAAAAATGGCAGTCAGGTTTTCCAGCCAAGCGGCACGCGTGCGGATCCTGCCACGTAGCCATGGGGCCCACTCGTCATAGGCAGATTTTTGGGCCGTTCTTTATTGGGCCTAGTAGGCCGACTCATTTACTGGAGAGGAGTTCCACTTCTTCCTCCTCGGGAGAAGTTGAGGGAGGCATTATGGACTTCTCTCTCCTCCTAGCTTCACTCTCTCCGCTGCTGCTGCTGCGTTCGGTAGCTAAGCTTAGCTTAGCTTGCGAGCTGCGTCGCCTAGCTCCGATTGGATCTCGCTCTCGAGCTCGAGCTCGAGCTCGGATTCCATGGCGAATTGGTGACTCGGTGGCAAGGTCCCGTCTCCTGGTGTCTGGAATTGGGCGGCGGCGGCGGGATGAGGAAGAGCTGGGGGCTCGGGCGGCCGTCGGGTGACCGGCGGTGGCTGCTCCCCTTCGCCGCGAGCCTCCTCGTCTCGGCGACCCTCTTCCTCGCCGCGGCATGCGGCCTCTTCTCCCCGCCCTCTCTCGCCGACGGCGACGACGACTCCATCCTCATCGACGTCGCCACCTGGGACACCGCCTCCGCCGCAGAATCCGAGATCAAGAACCGCCTCCTCGACTCCAACTCCGACTCCGACGACGGCGACAACCCGGACGACGCGGCGGTGAACTCGGACGCCTCCTCCGCGGATCCCCCGCGGATCGCCTACCTCCTGGAGGGAACCAAGGGGGACGGGGCGCGGATGAGGCGGGCGCTGCAGGCGATCTACCACCCGCGGAACCAGTACATCCTCCACCTCGATCTGGAGGCGCCGCCGCGGGAGCGGATCGACCTGGCCATGTACGTCAAGGGGGACGCCATGTTCAGCGAGGTCGGGAACGTGAGGGTCATCGCCAAGGGCAACCTGGTCACCTACAAGGGGCCAACCATGGTGGCCTGCACGCTGCACGCCGTCTCCATCCTCCTCAAGGAGGGTCTGGAGTGGGACTGGTTCATCAACCTCAGCGCCTCCGATTACCCCCTCGTCACGCAGGATGGTCAGTGCTCTGATTACTCTGCTGAATGAATTTTAGCTTACTTTGTGTGTTGTGCTTGTTCTAGAATGTAGAGATGTTTTGTTAATTAGCTATGAAATGCCACCGAATTTGCCTCTAGGATTGTCTACTTGATGACAAAGGATGGTCAGTGTTCTTCAGGTCAGCTGAATTTCAATTACATATTGTTGTGTTTGTTCTAGGATGTGGAGATATTTTCTTAGCTATGGAGTGCCACTGAAAAGATTGGAATTTAGGATTTGCCTCTAGGATAGCATTGTTGAGGGCAGCAATTAGCATCTGTGTAACTGTAATGGTTAAATTCGTTGTGTAAGCTATAGCCTATCTGATAGCTCAACTAGATTTCTTTGCATTGGCATCAGTTATGTAGAGCTTGCTAGCTACTATTAGCAAGCTTCAGATTCAGGAAAATGAAAGTGTGCTGTAATGAAAGCTTTAATCCTCATTGAGGATATTGCAACATTCAGTGGCATTGTATAAGTATTTGCATGGCTAAACGTTATTTTTCTCTGCAGATATACTTCATGTGTTCTCTTCCTTGCCGAGAAATCTTAATTTTATAGAACACATGCAACTATCTGGTTGGAAAGTGTAAGTTTCCTTCTAGTCTTCAGTATTTTCAATTTTTTTCACGTTATCTAGTTCTCTCTACTTTTGATTATCCAGATTACTTGTTCTGATGCTTTATGTGGTTTTCTCACAGGATTTCAAGAGCAAAACCTATTGTTGTGGACCCAGGGCTCTATCTATCAAAAAAGTTCGATCTTACCATGACTACTGAGCGGCGAGAATTGCCAACATCTTTCAAGTTATATACTGGTGAGCATGTTTCTGATTTCTATATGTCTTACTTGGCATATTAGAAAGCTATTATGATTCTGCCCACAAGTTAACGATGCATTCATGCAGCGATTGGCATGGGTATGGAATCTAAATATTTATGATACTATTATTCCAAACTGACCTTTGAATAGTGCTGGTTTGTAAGTAATTACTTCATGGTAGCAGACAGTAGCGTTGAATACTTGATTGACCAATATTGATTGCAATAGACCATTTCTTATTGTTAGCATTAGTGTGTGTCCTCTTGCTTTTCACTATGTCCACATGCCCTCTTATGTTTGCGAAAATAAATAAGTAGACATTATTTGCAAAAATAAATAAGTAGAGGGAGAGAGAGAGAACAGAGGATTTTTGTTGTTGTTGTTTTGAGTTAAAACAGAGGATGTTGGATTGAAGTATCAATCTTGACATCGGAGTTATCAATAATTTTCAAAGCAAGCCCTTACAGTTTAGAATGCACCAAGATGTTTTGAAATGAGCTACTTTTCCTGTTGACCACAATATGGCTTCATTTCCTGCTTGCTTCCTTCCTGTCATCATTTTTTGTTTGACTAGATCTGGTATTCCGATGAAATGGCAGATCAAATCTTCCATTAGCACTGACAAAATAAGAAGTTTGATCTCTCTGTTCAAAACGCCTAGGAGTGATGCAGAATAAACAAATGCTCTATGTGAAGTGTAAGGGCGTTATGCAGTTTTTAGCAAACATATTTCTATTTCGGTTGTGAAATCAAAATATTGTTTTTATTAATTACCTGTTTATACGAGAGGCACATCAGCATCATTCTATCTTGTACGCGTTACATGTTTCCTGATACAAAACACACAAGACTCTTAAATGTATCTTAACATCAGAGTCGTCTTTTTATCGACAGGTTCTGCTTGGATAATGCTCACAAAAACCTTCCTCGAGTACTGCATATGGGGATGGGACAATCTCCCACGGACACTCCTTATGTACTATGTTAACTTCATCTCCTCTCCAGAAGGTTATTTCCACACCGTCATCTGCAACTCGGACGAGTTTCGGGGCACTGCGGTTGGCCATGACCTGCACTACATTGCTTGGGACTACCCTCCAAAGCAACATCCAAATATGCTCTCCATGAAGGACTTCAACAAGATGGTCAAGAGCGGCGCGCCGTTTGCACGGAAGTTTCCCAAGGATGACAAGGTCCTGGACAAAATCGACCGTGAGCTGCTGCACCGCTCCGAAGGCCAGTTCACCCCCGGAGCATGGTGCGACGGGAGCTCTGAAGGAGGAGCTGATCCATGTTCCTCAAGGGGTGAAGATTCGGTATTCGAGCCTAGTCCCGGTGCCGAGAGGTTGCGAGGCCTCATGAAGAAGGTGCTTTCATGGGATTACCGCAATGGCAGCTGCTCGTCGCTCGGTTACGATCAGACAAAACGAGATTGGTATGTTCCAAAAGGTAGAGGATAATTCATGTTGTCCTGGTACCTTTTCTTGTAAATTCAGATAGCTGAACTTGACCCCTTCCATTGAAATGAACAAAGCTGATGAATCCAACATTCTGACCAAGAAAAAAGATGTTGAAATTGCAATGTCCGTACATATCTGGAGTACCATTTAAAAAAAAACGGTCATATTACGATAACTAAAAACGATGGACTGACTTTTAATGTTCTATCTTCATCCAAACTATTTGGTGCTGAAATTCTGAGAGAGTTTGGTCAGCTTCATTCATGGACTTGACTTTGTACGGCTGTTGCTGCGTACACACAAATTTCCGTCAAATTTCTGTCGGCGACCTTAATTTGATCTGCAAAATCTGCCACTCGCTCACTTTCCCAAACAAAATCTCTCCAGTTCACCAAGACCTAACACTGACGACCTGAAAAACAAAACACAAGTAATTAAATTTGCAGCTAAATTTATTTAAAATTTTCTCATTGGCTTTGACATCATTCAGTACAGCCGCTCCTTTTCAGCTTGATCACACTTTGGCTGTAGCAGCAGTGCAGCACGAGGCCAACATGTGAAAAATGAACAAAATTGAGAGCTGCGCTGCGTACGCGGCGCGTCGATATGGACATGGATTGGTTGTTAAATTCAGACGCGAGGATCATGCGTAATAAGCTGGCTGGAGGTAGCTTTCAGAGTTTCAGAGAGTACGTGTTCTTCACAGTGGAGGTGTCAAAGGTCAGTTTTTGGGGATCTCGACAGTCACTGTTGGCTCGGCTCTTAGATTGGCCTACCTATTTGACTTGTGATTTATCAACCTCCATGCAAGCTCAAGAGGATCTCTCGATTCACCGATAGACACAGGCATACGTTTGGTTTGGGGACAACTATGACCGGCTCTATATTTTCGAGGGCCTGAAGATATAATCGTTATTATGGTTTCTCTCGGTTGAATATTGTTTTAATTTACTTTTAAAGTATACAACTCCTTCCGTCCCATAATATATCAACTTAGAACCAAATGTGATACTTTATGGTACAACGAATCTGGACAGTAAACATGTCCAGATTTGTCGTACTATGAAGTGTCTCGTCCAGTACTAGGTTACTATATTATAGAATGGAGGAAGTACTTTATAAACCATTCATTCTCCAAAATGACATAAATAAACACCACTAACATAATTAATACGTTAAGTAGGAACTCTTAAGAGTTAACTTGTAAATAATATTACACTACAGTTGAAAAACTAAAATGCAGAACATGAAAAACCAAACTACTGCTAACTAATAGATTACCATCATCCATAATATAAAATGAGTGACAACGTAATTTTTGGACAGTTGATACAAAATCAACACTTATGAACAGTTGAACACAAGCATATAGGTGGACCTCCTTCCAGCTCGGGCCTTAGGTGGTCACATCTTTCACCTAACCCTCATCCAAATATAAGATGGGATGATCCTTCTTCTTCTATTTGGATGGGGGATAAGACCATCATTGCTTATTACTAACTCCGTCCCAAAATAAGTACAGCCATGAGTTTTCGCAATCAATTTTGATCGTCCATCTTATTTGATTTTTTTTATAATTAGCATTTTTGTTGTTATAAGATGATAAAACATGAATAGTACTTTACTCGTGACTTATGTTTTTAATTTTTTTTAAAAAATTTTTAAATAAGATGAATGGTTAAAGTTGAGCGCGGAAAACCATGGTTGTACTTATTTTGAGACGGAGAGAGTAGATAGTACAAGATACATGGATGATAAAATAAGGCACCTATAAGTGGGACCCACATGTCTGTCTTGGGAATAGGAGTGACGAGTTAAGTCAATTTGTAGAGACCAACTCAATTAGAGATATTCCTATCAGAAAATAATTCCATCCCAGACGTTTCTAAACCAAAGATTCTAGAAAACAAGTTTACTCTCGACCCATCTCATAGTATCCCAAAAACCAAACACACCCTACGAGATAATTGATCATGAGTATTTTATGTATACTCATTTATAAACACATACTATATATATAATGAATATACATATACGTTAATATAACATGTACGAGCTTCTAACTTTCGCATACCTTAATTAAGACGAGCTTTGAAAGGTGGATGTTAGATGAGCTTTTTATTCCTTTAACCTTTTTTGTCGGGTACTCAGTTGTAACTTCACAAGCTGTTGTGTACATCCATGATCCGGAGGATCCATAATTCAGGCATGTAACCATCCTCTTGTCTTAAACAAAATTATCTACAAAAAATTGATGTTGGCTTTAATCCGTCTGAATAGTCCACTTACTGGCAAAGTAATTAACTTAATTTAATTTTAAGATTCTAAAACCGGTGGAGATCAAACAACAGACCGACGGCCTTGACTACAAGCTAATTCGTTTCCATTGACAAATCTACCGCACGAGCAGAGCTTGATCTGTGTCGCTTTTATTTAATTTGTCAGCAACTTTTCTGTACTTGCAACGAAAAATCAACACCTACCTCTCTAACTTTAGCGTTTTAAGCAAAAACGAAATTCAGCATTAGCAAAGTGTAATTCTTTTTGTCTGCTCATCTGTTGTAATTAAGCTTTTGAAAAGGTAAACCCTCTGCTTTTTTTCCAAGGTGATCTGACTGTCAAACTGTGGCTTAGGTACTGATAAGTGACGTGTCAAACAGAGCACTGCTTCAAGGAATTCATAGCACCGTTCGGTTGAAAATGAGTTTTTCTGAGATTTGTATCAATGATTTTCTGTTTCTTGATTCTGAATTAATTTGTTAAGATCATGGTTTGACTACAAGATTTTCTGTGAGAAAAAAACATAGTATATATATAGGAGTGAAAGAGAAAGGTAGGTGGATAATGGTTTATATTGTGGAGCAAATCTCTTTTTTTTTGCAGAAAGTAAACGATAGTAAATCCCAATGCTCAATCTTGGAGGAATTAAATCACAGTGCTCGGAAATTTCTCTTGCCCACTCAAATTCTGATTATGTTTTGCTTCACTTGAAGTTAGTACTGTTTACTTTTTATTGTGCCGTACTATACTTTCGCTAGGACTTGGGCAACTTGTATCAAATAAATATTTAAATAAAGTTTTTTAGGTGAAATTTGTATAGCCTTTTGTGGAAAAGTTTTAGAAAAACTCAGAAATATGGCATAATATAGGTGTTATATTATACACATTTTCCTATGAAAAATAAAATGTACCTAATTCAAACTGTGGTAAATTGTAGCTATTAACTCGGCAGCCATATATATATACGGCCGAAACAATATTGCACACAAATTTGTCAACTTTCACAAAATTTACAAGTAGGAGTTGCACGCAGCAAACCCAAATCCAAACATTGTGACATACGGTAGCATCAATCCAAACAGGCCAAAATTTGTCAAATTTCACATAATTTACAAGTAACAGTTGCACGTAGCAAACCCAAATCCACCTCATGTTGACCTTGGAAATTAAAAATGTGTTCCTTTTTTTGGTTTAGGTAGAAAAGAGTTCAGCTGTGTTGGCAGATCGTGTGCACGTTGCCTTTTAGGCAGCATTTCGATTTTCATTAGCCATCAAAATCTCAACTTTTTTTGTGAGTTGATCTAAACTTTCGAGTCAAAGCTCAAAACTATCTTAAAAAGATTCCATTTTCACTTTAATTTGCGGAAAGGTACAAAGATACGTGCGCATGCATCCAGTGAGACTTTCGTGTCCAGTTTGGTTCCTAACCACGGAATTTAATTGAACCATAATTCAAAGCTTGTCTTTTCTTTTTTTGCACTCAAGGAGAAAAATGGTAAATAATTTCACATTTTCAACCGGCATCCTGTTTGCCTTTGATATTTTTTAAAAACTTTTCGAAGAAAAATTCGCAGTGTTTTGCTTTTGGATTTCTCTTCTCCAAAAATTAAGGGGGAAATTTCTCTCTCTAAAGATTCTCCAAAAAATAAGGGGACATTTTTTTTCTCTCTAAAGAAAATTTTGTATAGGAAATTTCTTACAACCTTCAGTTCGAACTACCAAGTTGACTCACTAGCCGACCTGCTAAGCTTGTCCACGTCAGCACTTTATACCTTACAACTGAGCAGATTAATGCCTCTGACTTCTTTTACTACTAACTATCTCAATTAATTAAATCTCCTCTTTACCTATTTCTGTTCAACTCCGTGTCTCAATTTTGGATTCAACCATGACAGAGCACTCTGTACAGCTAACAATTGAAAACAAAGGTAGCCGGTAGTACATTTGAAATCAAAGCAAATAAAGAAAAGATGAAAAAATCAAAATTATCACCGCACTACTACGAAAACCATTTTCAGAGACGGATGAAACACATTTCCAAAGGGAGGTCGACCATCTGTCTCTAACAGGTTAAAACGACGTGGAAATGGGACCATCTACAAATGCAGGTAAAATGTTGTCTGCGAAAATCATTTCCCTTAATTTAACCACATTTTTATATTCTGCTAGCTAATTAGTACAAAACAAAACATTTCGGTTTTTTATCATTTCTGTTGATATATTGGTAATTTATTGAAGAATTAGTTTCCATTGCCTGCCATTATGTGGAGGTGCCGATCCGTTGTTGACATAATGCCGGGAAGAAATTAAGACAAAGTTTTGATAATAAGGCTCAGATTTGTTGGAGTAAGCTGCCATGCACCTTCCTTTGATATGAAAAGTTTGGAAACGTCTGTTTCTGCCTCCTATAATGTTGAAGAGTAAATATTTTTATCTCAGTGTTTAGTTAGGCATGTATAGTCTATTCTCAATTGGAACTTTCTTCCTAGTGATATACAGCAAATCGCCAAGTCATTGTGCTTTATATAAGGGAGGGATTCTGTAATAATTCCCATGTTTTTATAGTCCGATTTTGTTGTTTTTAATTGTTCTATATTCGTGTGGATCAATTTGACTTTACGGAGAGACATTGAGATGATACCATATGTTTTTGGGAAAAAAAAGAAATTAACTATTTTTTTTAGGAAATTAACTATTTAAAACAACATACAAGAATGAGAGCACATATTCTCGATGGCTTCAAATAGATAATATAGCAAACAATCCATCACCACCAACACTTGTGTTAGTGGCATAATTTGATTTGTAGTTAGTTTTATATGGTAGATCGACCAAATTATCTGAAATAGC